GTAATTCTTCACCTTTCTTCTCTCTTTCTGGGGAGTACACACACCCTATAGAATTTTATCTCACTTCAAAAAAAAAAAAAAAAAAAAAAAAAGACAGGTTGCTGCTGGAACCAGCAGTCAGCGAAATGGCTATGTCACTGGACTCCCACGTGGTTGACCACGGTTCGAGTCCCAGACCCGGTGGGTTAAAACTCCACGGGCGCGTATGCATGCGTGCCCAAGATCCCGAGAGAATGGAGGAGAAGCGATTACAGCATGGCCATCCCCCCTGGGGGGTGATTTCTCGCTGTCTCTCTGTCTCTCTCTGTCTGGCGAGCGCACACGCCCTATAGCAAAAACCTCTCCAAAAAAAAAGAAAGGTGGCTGCTCCCCTCCTGCCGGTCCACACAGGCACACAGGATTCTCCGTGGTGCTGGGTCAGCGTCCTACCCGGGCAGGACTGGCTCAGGCACACTCCGTCAGCGTCCACACCGAGCACCAGGCATGCATCTTCCCAGCCAGGTCACAACCCCCTACGCAGGCACAGCTGAAAGCCAGAATTCAAACAAAGGAGCCAGCCCTGACCACAGACCTCCCGGTAAACGCCCGTGACCCCAGTGGGAGTCCCCCCGCAGCCGCCCTCTCCAAACTGCCCACACACGCGCTCTGGCATGGGCCGTGTTCTCGCATTTGCCCCTTCCTTCTGGGTCTCGGGGCGGGTCTCTCACCATAGAGGCCTGGACCCAAGGACCAAGCATCCCACACCATGCAGCTCCAGGGCACGCTCGGGCCACACTTCGGTCCCGACTAGGACCTGTGCTCAGCCGGCCCGGCCCTTCGTCCCTGCTTCCGCAATGGCCCATGTGTCTGTGTGACCAGCAGAGAACGGGCCCTGTCCTTGCCCACTTCTCCCCGTGTGCTTCTCCCCGGTGGCCCTCCACCTCCCCCACAGCCCCACGTCTGTTCAGGACGGCAGAGGCGGCGGGGACTCAGGCCCACCTCCCCCGGCGTGGGGCTCCCTGGACAAATCCCTTTCTTTATTCACCAAGGCTCTCCTGATTTGGGGGCCCCTGAACGAGCACCTCTGCTGGTCCCTCTCACCTTCACAGAGAGTTCAAGCTGAACGCAGAAAAGACATACAGACCCTGAAAACCCAGCCAGCTGCCTCCTCACCCCATATCGAAGTCCACTGCCCAAATGCCCAGGCCGGCGCCGCCTTCAGCCCACAGCCCCGGCCCCCTGGGTGTTCCCAGGTGGTTCAGAGTACCAAGCCCGTGCCAGCCCCTTCTTCCAGACCCTCCCCAGAGTGGCTGTGGGCCCCAAACATAGCAGTGTCTCTAGGTAGAAGGGCCAAACATGCTCCTGGCAGGGAGGAGCCATGCGCTCCCCACTCGGACCCACACGCCCCTGCTGTGTCCTCATGGGGAAGGGGCTGGCGCTCAGAGCCTGCTCCTTGCCAGCTAAGGGCAACTCTGGCTGCAGAGTGCCAGGCTGGGCCCAACCCCTCTGGGGTACCACGGCAGGGGAGGCCCCCCTCAGCCTGCGTGAGCCAGACAGAGCTGCCTGCTGCCCAGGGTTCCCAAACCTGGGCAAGGACGGGATTGGATGTTTGCACACGGCTTCTGGCTTTACCCTAAAGGAGGGACAAGGGACCCCGCCTCCTTGGCAGACCCTAGCTGTCCCCTCCACCAGAGACAGCTGGGTTGTAGTCCCCAGCGAGGACCTTCCAGGCGCTCGGAGCAGTCCTGCAGGCTCCCAGCTGGACGTGGGGTGGGTGGGGCAGGAAGGGGTTAAAGGGACTGTCGGGCAGGGCAGAGTAGATGACTCCCAGCAGGCAGCCTGACTCCACCCTGTTGGGGAGCAGCCTGCACTGGGGGTGGGGTGTGGCCCCGTCCCAGTCCCGGGTCCTGTGCGTGGCCTTGCTCAGGCCTCAATCCTCTGGCCCCGTTCAGTTACTTTCCTCGCCCCAGGTAGCAGGTGCCGGGGGCATCTCTGCCCACTGGGCTCTCCTGGAAGTGCCCACAGCCATCATGAGTTCAGGGCCTAATCATGGGACTTTTTTTGTTTTGTTTTTTTTTAGGGAGATACTTGCTATAGGGCATGTGCGCTCACTGGAGAGGCAGAGAAAGACAGAGAGACAAAGAGATAGTGAGAAATCACCCCCAAAGGGGGATGGTCACACCACAATCCCTTCTCTAATCCTTTCTCAGGACTTTGGACACACACACACACACACAACGTGAGGTTTTTTTTGTGTGTGTGTTTTTTTTGGAAGATATTTGGTATAGGGCATATGCACTCGACAGACAGAGAGAGACAAAGAGACAAAAAGCAAGAAATCACCACCAGGGGGATGGCCACGCCACAATCCCTTCTCCTCCATTTTCCTCTCAGGATCTTGGGCATGCATGCACATGTGCCCAGCGTGAGTTTAAGCCACTGGGTCCGGGACTTGAACCGTGGTTGACTACATGAGAGACCAGCGACATAGCCATTATGCCAACTGCTGGTCCCCCAACGTGAGTTTTAAGCCACTGAATCAAGGACTTTAGCTGTGGTCGACTACATGGGAGCCTAGCGATGCAACCATTACTCCCTCCGTTAGTCCGCCAGGGGGCTGCTTGCTTCTAGGTTCAGGTTCTCCCGGCAGGCGGGTCCTAGGCCAGGGTCATGCTCAGAGACTCCTGGCTCCTGTGGGCCTTGGCGCTGGGGGCCGAGGTCAGCGCGGATGCCTCCTGGAACTCCTTGGCCATGTAGTAGTAGCAGATAGCGTCCAGGCAGCCGTTGGCCTCCGAGAGCTTGCTGGTGGCTTCGAGGGCGATGCGAGTGGCACAGGACTGTGAGCCCATAGCCACCTGGACTGTCAGGACCACATGCAGTGGCAGGAAGCAGACCAGGAACACCAGCAGGTTGGCCCAGACCATGCCAGCAGCCTTACGGCTGGCCTCCACCTGGCCCACGTCAGAGGCTGGCCGCTGGGCCAGCGCGGTCACCACCTGCAGAGAACAGAAGACCACCACGGCCAGCGGCGGGTAGAAGCCCAGCAGCGAGAATAGAGTGGCGTTGGAGCTGAGCCGGGCCGTGTTCCTGAAGCAGCAGCCGCCCTCATTCCTCCCCACGCCCCACCG